TGCCTAATATATATATATATATATTTTAGTGGCCAAAACCCTGTTGCCTACAGAAAAGAGGTACAAAACCTGCCTGAATATGTACTTACCAGTAGTGACGCCAGGAGGCGCTGCCGTGGACAGGCGGATGCCGCATGGAAATGACAGACCCTCCATCAGGACAGTCTTGGTCAAGTCTGACTTGGATAACCTGGGGGATTGAAACAGAGCAACTTATTACCTTCGCCAAGAAGGTTATGTTTTCAGGGGCGTTCGTGTATGTGTGTGTGTGTATGTGTGTGTGTGTGTGTGTCAACACGATAACTTGAGAAGACCTTGATGGACTGTCTTGATACTTGGTAGGTGGGTAGGTCTTGATGAGACCTCAAAATGATAAGATTTTGGACCCCCTAGCGGCTTGTTATGGTACTGCAGCTGAACTTCCGGTTTTGATATCTCATGATCTAGACATGCTATGGTGATGAAATTTATATGGTAGGTAGCTCTTGTGCTGGGGAAGAAGTGATGTGAGTTTAGGCCCCCTTGCTCTGGAACTGCAGCGATATATTCTTGAAAATATTCAAAAGGGGATAACTCAAGAACCGGTTGACGGATCGTCGTGATTTTTGGTATGTAGGTAGCTTACGTGATCCTTCATATAATTATGTGACAATTATACAAATATGGATATAATTTGCATAATTTATGGGGAAATTCTATAAATCAGTTGCATTCCATGATAGGACAATTAAAGCTTGTGACATTGGTAATTGACAACGAGAGAAACACAGGAAGATATTGATTATGTTAATAATGACCTAATTTGCAAAATAAATGAGAAAATTTTATAATTATGTAATGATAACTGCCTGGAATGTCATACTTGTGGTATTTGAAAGTTAAATTGAGGTGAACATCATTAAACATAATTTATTCAAATCAGGACCTCATTTGCATTATTTATTAGGAAATGCTAGAATGCATTGTTTGTTAATATAAGACTGTTTTTTTGGTTGAGATTATGATAACATGATATAATTCATGAAAATTAGGTTCCTGTTTCTTAAATCAGGGGGGAATAATCTAATCTATAATTTGTCAGTCATAAAGATTAACATCCTTTGGCGAAGGTATGAGATCGGGGAACTCTAGTTGTGTCTGTTCAAGTATGGATATATGTATTTATGTATATGCCTAAATTATATCCATATGTATGTATGTATGTATGTATGTATGTATGTATGTATGTTTGTGTGAGTGTGCATGTGTGTGTGTATGTCTGTGTTTGTTTGTGTGTGTGTGTGTGTGTGTGTGTGTGTGTGTGTGTGTGCGTGCGTTTCTCTCTCTCTCTCTTTCTTACTCTGTGTATGTCTGTGTTCATTTGTTTGTGTGTGTGTGTGTCACCGCATGATTTTCCTCGTTTCCGTCTGAGAAATTGTCGCACACTTTCCCGGAAGCCGTTCCTAACTAGACAAGTATTGCAAGCTATATACACTAGCTTATTCTTACCCCACATACACCACTATAGTGCAATATTGGACCAGGAGGGAAGGGTCACATGGATAAACAGCAATTCATCGGGCACGTTTACCACAGAGACAAGCTGAAGCCTTTCGCACCAAAGTAGCTACCTCCCGAAAGTCTCCAAACCCCCTACTAGTAACATCACACGGGAGGATCGAACCGCTCTCAAAGATTTGGCCACCAATCAAGATATAGTCACGTATGAGCTTTCTAGCCAAGATTTTGGGACCACTAGTGGGGAAATCTCAGCATCATGTTCAGAATAGTCCTGATTTTGTCAACAAAATCAAAGACATTCAAATAGAAGATGATGAAACCATCACTTCGTATGACGTGTGCTCACTTTTACGTCTGATCCATACCACCTAAGGAAGCAGGAAATAGCTTTGCTATATTGCTACTAGTTTTTTTTTCTTATGCCGGAACTAAAAGAATGTACTTTTTTCTGTTGATAAAAAAACATGTTTTTAAACATTATGAACAGTTACATAAGACAGCTATTGTTTATGTAAAACGAGTAGTTAGCCCCAAATGGGGCCTTTTATATGCAAAGAAACAAAGGCGTTTACTTCTCGGTACAAAGACCACATGGCCGAAGGCTACACTTGGAAGGCTACACAAGATCCATCCATCTGCCGTCCTGTCTCCAAAACGACCTTGACCAACTACATTCCTGGACAATGGACAACCACATGCTCCTGAACAGTAGCAAGTGCATAGCAATGCACAGCACATTCTGCAGAAACCCACCACTGTTACCCCCACTGCGGATTGACTCCTCAGTTTTGTCTGAAGATACTCGGCCTTCGCGTTCAGAGTGATCTACTTTGGAATGAACAGGTCAACCATATGTCTGCAAACGCTGCCAGGAAACTGTTCATTCTCAAGCGTCTCAGGAAGTTCAATCTCTCACAAAATGAACTCCTAATCATCTACACTGCATACATCCGTCCACTTATGGAGTACGCTGCTCCCGTCTGGTCCCCGGGACTATCTAAACACCAAGTTGATCAGCTGGAGCGGATACAACGAAGAGCCTGTCGGATCATCATGGGTCCTACCTATACCGGATATACAAGCTCACTCGAACATCTGAAACTCACAACGCTTGCCGAAAGGCGTGAGACTCTGTGTCTGAACTTTGCTAGATCACTTATCAACTCTGAGTTTGAACATTGGTTGTCGAGACGCAGATCTAGTATCACAGGCAGAAGTACCAGAAATGGTCAAAAGCTTGATATTCCAAAGGCTGAAACACAGAGATACAGAAACTCACCAATTCCCTACCTGACTCGATTGTTGAACCAGCATGACTTTTAATCTGTAATTTATTTTTAATGTATTGTCAATGAGCGAATTTTCTCTTACTGTCACGACCAAATCTTTGTATATATGACGCTCCTCTTTTATTGATTATTGTAATACATTTTAATCATAAACTGAATTGTGCTATTGAACTATATTTTAACCCTATATCGCCAACCATTATATTGTACCTTTATGTAATATTGATCTTAATTCAGTGTACTCCACTGCGACATCAATAAAGCCAATCTGAATCTGAAATACATTCGTGCAAGTTTGACATCCTTTTAAAGCGATCTTAGTACACAAATGCCTCCGTCCCTAAGGCGTCGCCAAAAACAAACAATAAAAGTAGAAAACCCCTTAAACGTACATGCGGTGAAACACATCTTTTGTGAACATCCGTTCATGTTACTAAACTGTGATAAAATATGAAGCAAAAGGTCCGTTTTCAATAGCTTCCGGACGATATAATGTACCCCAAATGGTAACGCACATCAGGTGTGGGGATTTCGTACCCAGTGTTATTTTCAAGTTAGTTTACCGGAATAACTATCACACAAAGGACGTCGGGATTATTGTTGCATACTGAGGTCGGTCGTGGAAGCCCTGGGACGCTATTACGGAACGCCACCGCGAAACGATCGCTGTTATTGGCCAATGGAGCCGGGGACTAAATCCGTGGTTAATACTTATCCTAAGTCAGTACAAAACCACCAACTTGAAGGTAACCTATATATAATCCACCTCCTACTAAACAAACATGAGCCATGTTTACAAATTAAACACACTTAACACTTAATACAACATCGAGCAGAAGAACATGACATCAGAAGGGAAATGTGTACATTAATGTTTACTAGATAAATCGGATTTTCTTACATTCCGACTTTTCCGACATTCCCTTGCCTTGATGAATCATACCATCGAGACGTCCAGTAGACGTAGTTCTCGTCAACAGCAATCCCCCGCACAATCTTCCCGTCTTCATACAGCAGTTGTTGGATATCGTTACCCAGCAGGTCTGAGCTGTACACGCGGTACATATCAGAGTAGTACAGCCGGTCCTCTAAATGGGAGGAACAAACAAAGGATTTATGCACCTATTAATGTGAATACTGCGACTGTTGAGTAAGATCACAGAGAGGGTAGACGTGCACATAGATAATATCTTACACCAAGTACGTTTAATCATGATTGAACGTCCTTGCTTACACATAGTACATATTTATTTAAACCACTCCTGCCCTCATACAATACAATAAGTCAGGTAACACCGACCTACTAAAGAACGCGTTTCAACACGCTCCTTCTTGATTAATAATTCTTTTGTGTATAAATAAATATATTCAGTAAATTGTTTCTTGCTGTGTTGTTTCTTACCTCTATAGTCTATTGTAACGGCATAGGGACGAGACACGCCCGTGATGATGGTGGTTTGGTTACTGCCGTCCATCGCAGCACGGTCAATTCTGTCATTACCATTGTCTGCCCAGTACATGAGTCTGTGAAAGGAGTCAAGCAAACAAATGAAAACCTCTTATCTCCATGAAATGTTTAAATATGTTTTAAGTGGTGTTTTATTGTACAGTATCATTAATATAGTTATTACCATAAATAATATAGATTAATTATAATGATAATATAACCCACATAATCCCTACACATCTGCCTAAAGCACATATTTGGCAAATTGATAGGTCACAACAAAACGATTTAATAGGAAAGTAATATCATATTCCAGGAGTCCGGAACATCGGATCAAGGTTTATTACAATAAATGAAAGTTTGCACTATATGACGTATTTAAAACGGTGACTGGTTGAAATGCATCGAATTTACAAACGTTAACGTACACAGCCTTGTCCCCATTTATGTAAAATGCCTGATTTTGAATGTATTTTACTCACCCATTCCTGGGGTCCAGGACCAGGTCATAAGGACGGCTGACGGCAGGAGACGTCAGAAGTGTTCTAGTTGACGATCCATCCATCTTTGCTACAGAGATGGTGTTTTCATCAAAATCAGTCCAGTAGATATCCACTCTAGCGTGGTCCAACGCCAGGCCGAGGACAGCTGCATAAAAAAGTGACGACGTTTTGTAGAAAAATATGTTTGAAAATGCACACGTCAAGAAGATTTTGATATACATACATGTACTATATAATAGAAAATTCTTATATACGGAACAGTTCACGACAACATCGCAGTAAACACAGTAAGATTCCCCAATAATGCCGGGGTCACACCAATAAACGTGTCGTTATTACAAATAGGCTCCCAGTCCAACCTGAGATATCCATAACGTGTCACAGACAAAACAACCCGTCTGAAATATCCCGATAAGGTTTATAGCGGGAAGCCATGTTCACTGTTACTTACTCCAGATTCCTATTTGGAACAAGAGTTCCGAGATCTCATACCTCCATGAAATATGGGCTTGACATGTAAATGTTAATTTCTTCTTTAATTCTGAAAATTAACATAACACATTAACATAATAAATGCATCGTGATGTTAACTTTTGATTAACTTACACATGTACCAAGTATGAAATTCCCATCATTTACCACTAAGGAGTCATAGAATTCCCGCATTAATTATGCAAATTAGGTCATCATTTGCATAATTGGTATCTGGTGATGTTCCATCTGCCATAGATTACATACATTACATGTATGAAAGTACTATAATGCAAAACACTGTAATTATAGAATTTCCTCATTAATTATGCAAATTAAGTCCTCATTTGCATAATTTGCAGTTAATTATGTACATGTCTTTCTCAGCTACCTACCTACCAAAAATGATGAAAATACATTGTTTCTATCTGGACTTAATGGCTTTTAAAGATTTCGCCCGAAAGTCCCCTGCAGTTCCAGAACAAGCTGCTAGGGGGACCAAACCCACACCACTTATTCCTGACAGGACAATCTATCTGCCTTAAAAAAATCAAGACCATAGCTTATTCAGGACAAAAGATACAAAAACCGGAAGTTCTGCTGCAGTACCGAGGTCATCCACCAGGAGGCGTATATTTAACCTTGACCTTCGTCTTCCTAAGACCTACCAGCATACCAAATACCATCACAATCCATAAAGGCGTTATGAAGTTATGCAGGCCGCAAATGTGTAGAGACACAAACAAACAGACAGACAGACAGACACACAGACACAGACAGACGCAACAAAAACAATACCTCCATTTTCATGGAGGTAATAACACAGGTTGTTTGTTTTCAAACACACAGCCGTACAGTGGTACATTTGCCCTGAAATAGGTCACCTATTCCCCTGAGGGAGCGCGCTGCCTCGCTGGGCATAGCCACATCTGTTACCCTGGCTCGCAAGTACAAAGGAGATTCCTCTCAGCCATACCCTGACTCAACCTTAAACCGGAAGTGCTGCTGCAGTACCAAGGCCATCCACCAGGAGGCCCATATTTGACCTTGACCTTTGTCCTCCTAAGACCTACCAGCATACCAAATATCATCACAATCCATAAAGGCGTTATGGAGTTATGAAGGTACAAATATGCGGAAACACAAACACACATACACATACACACGCACACAGACGCGCCAAATACAATACCTCCATTTTCATGGAGGTGATAACGACCTGTTTTGGATTCAAAATCTCAAATCTGAATTCTTTGAATAAAATATATTTATAAATGCAAAACAAAACACCGATGTGAAAATACAACAACACAGAACTGTATAACTTTTCAGCCATTCTCTTAAACTACATTTGGTTGACAGATGGGATCCGTCCATACCGCTGCTTTGATTGTAAAATTACACACTCATAAGTATCATAGTTTAATCACAGTAGAAACAAGAGTTCCACGATCTCATGCCTTCGCAAAATGATGTTAACCCTTGTGGTTGACAAATTATACAATTTTAATCATTGATTTTATAAATAATAGCCCCATTTGCATGGATGATATCAGTTGATCATATTCTCCATCTAATGACAGCCTTATCTTAAAAAATATTATTAAAGCACTTCCTCATAAATTATGCAAATGAGGCCATGGTTTGAATAAATTATGTTTGTTGATGTTCACCTTCACTTAACTTCCAAATGTGGAAAGTATGAAATTCCCAGCAGTTACAACTATGAAATTATAGAAATTTGCCATTTATTATGCAAATTAGGTCCTCATTTACATAATCTATATCCTAAGTTTTTTCTCGTTCTCACAAGTGATGTCACAAGTGTTTCATAGTTCTATTATCGAACAAAGCAGATTTATAGAATTTCCTCATTAATTATGCAAATTAGCTCCTGATTTGCATAATTGTCGTCCGATCATGCCAAGCATCACTTCAACTACCTACATACCAAAAATCACGACAATCCGTCGACCGGTTCTTGAGTTATCCTCCTTCGAAAATTTTTCAACAAATTCTCCTGTAGTTCTAGAACAAGCCGCTAGGGTACCCAAACTCATGCCACTTATTCCGGATTCCAAGAGCTATCTACCACCCAAAATTCGTGACCCTAGCATGTCCAGATTACGAGATATCAAAAGCAGAAATTCTGCTGCAGTACCTAGGAAAGCCGCCAGGGGGCCCAAAATCTAATCATTTCTAGGTCGTATGAAGACCTTCGCACCTACCAAGTTTCATTTCAATCCATCTACTGCTTCTCGAGTTATCTTGCTATACCACACACACACACACACACACACACACACACACACAAACAGACACACACAGACAAACGCCACTGAAAACATAAACTTCTTGGCGAAGGTAACAAGCATTGTTGAGATGTAAAGTTTGGAACGAAAGAAAAACAGGTAATACGAAGCCTCCACCAGTATTTTATATTTTCCTAATCAGTTATACAAATGATTCTCAGATGGTCTTTTCCAGAGGAACACCGTAAACACCGCTACCTGTTCTATTTAGAATCTTTGGCGGGTCAGTGTGTGTTTGTGTGTGTGTTGTAGTGTGTGTGTGTGTGTGTGTGTGTGTGTGTGTGTGTGTGTGTGTGTGTGTGTGTATGTGTGTGTGTGTGTGTGTGTGTTTGCGTGCGGTCCTCGTCTTTTGTTTGTAGCCTTTATTTCAACTCGAAACTGTAACTGTGTTACATGCTCTAATCCGCAGCTATTTCGGCCGCTTTTCATAGAGGTCGAGCGTGGAGGAGTGTCAGGGGGTCATAACATAAATACTTCTTGCTCACAAATGAAAACAAAGTAATAATTTTTATACATAAGGTAACTCACACAAAGTAAATAAATAAACAAAATGGCAATAACTAATCAATAACTCATAAGTCGTTGTGTCCAAAGTCGTTCAGTCAAAATCAGTTACGATACTAGCAGTCTTTTAAAGGTGCTAAGAGTAGGTGCTGCTCTAACAATCTGCGGAAGAGCGTTCCATACAAGAGAGCCAGAGTAGGCTAGGGATCTCCGGTATATTTCACTTAATGGCATCGGTACCGCAAGGAGATCAGTCGCGCTTTGTCTGGTGCTTCTGGTCGCTCTATCCCTACAGTACGTGAAAATCCGGCGCATGTACGGCGGTAGTTGGTTGTTCAGGGCCTTATGTAGTATCAGGGCTTTGTGACGTTTGTGGATTGACTTTACGTCCATCCAGCCCAGACGTCGGTGGACTTCGGCTGATGGAGTTAGATACGGGGCTCGTAGAATCATCTTGCCAGCTCGGTTCTGCATCCTTTGCAATTTCCCCAACTCACATTCGGACGCAGTGTCCCAGACAGTGCAGGCGTATATAATATGTGGCAAAAATATAGTTTTGTACAAAGTTAACAGAGTAGATGTTGGAATGAATGTGCGGAAGTGCTTTAAAATGATGAGTGATCGCCTGAGTTTGCCCAAGACGGCATTTATTTGACACTTCCAGTTGAGATTACAATCAATTAACACACCTAGGTATTTGTAAAAGGTACATTCCGTTACAGTTGCCCCATTGATATACACTTTAGGGCTTCTGCAACTGTTGAGCCTTTTGTCTGTTCCAATAAGCATGAGTTTGCATTTACCACTGTTTACGGATAACGAATTAGCTGTGAACCACTGAGAAAGAGTATTTAGATTATTTTGGAGGTTGTACTCAATATCGCTAACATCCTTGCTGCTATAGTAGATGACAGTGTCGTCTGCATACATTGATATTTCACAAGATTTGGCGCAATTTGGCATGTCATTAACATAAATTAAAAACAACAGCGGGCCCAATAATGAGCCTTGGGGTACTCCATATTGCATTTTATGGAAACCAGAGGTAACTCCATTAATGGCAGTACAGTGCTGTCTGCTAGATAAGTAGGATGTAAACCAATCAAGTGCTTCACCTTGTATGCCATAGCAAAACAACTTTTTGCAGAAGAATGGTATGGTCGAGCGTATCAAACGCTTTGGAGAGGTCAATAAAAACCGCCCCTGTCAGCTGACCAGTATTCATGGCATTGAACCACTTCTCTGTGAGTAGGTGGGCCGCAGATTGTGTGGAATGGCCTGGCCTAAACCCAGACTGGGCCTCTATAAGAATACTGTTTACTGACAAATAGCTGTACAGTTGAGTATGTACCGCCCTTTCCAATATCTTTGAGACAGCAGGTAGTATGCTGACAGGTCTACATGTATAGTTATTTGGCGCAGCTCTATCCCCTGCTTTGTGTATTGGCGATAGGCGTGCCTTCTTCGTCCTCTGGGAACTCACTTCTGAGCAGCGATTCATTGAATATTTTCGTCAGGGAGGGTGCGATGATCTCGGCTGCTGACTTGAGCAGTCTGTTGTTCAGCTGATCTAGACCCACAGCTTTGTCATGCAGACAGATGAACGACAAAGCGTGTGTGTGCGTGTGTGTGTGTGTGTGCATGTGTGTGTGTGTGTGTGTGTGTGTGTGTGTGTGTGTGTGTGTGTGTGTGTGTGTGTGTATGTGTGTGTTTTTGCGTGCGTGCGTGTGTGTTTGTAAACGTAAATGTTAAATAACGTGAACCCAGACAATGAGAAAATTAGCCGGGTCCTTACATCTGCTTGAGGACTATTCTGATACATATCTTCTTTGTAAGACCATACATTATCATGTAGTGTTGCGTTTTGTAATAGTTGTCTCCAATTGCCATAAAAACATGATAATATGATATTTTAACTCACTGTTGATGTCTAAGATGGTCTCCCTGCCACTTCCATCACGACGAGCCCGGTGGATTTTCTTGTTCCGGTTATCTGACCAGTACACGTAGTCCGTGAGCGGGTCGTAGTCCAGGGCTCGGGGCAGTCCTACATCTCCGAGCGGAAGCGTGGTGTTCGAACCGGAAGTGATGTTAATTTGAAGAATGATTTCTCCATTCTTGTCAGCTACCAATAGGAATGGCTCACTGATGTTACTGGAACCGGGGTCTCCTAACGTGGAGGAAATAACCAGAGTATTAAAAAACAGATTTTTCCGAACAATCGTGTCACGTCTTGAATTATCATCTTCTTTCGTACTTTCAAAAATTATTTGCTCATTTAAAACGATCGCCAGGCAAAAGGAAGTGAAATATGACGTGCCAATTACGGTGATTTACTGCCAGTATTTGGAACTCCGACCCGGAACCTTCCGATCTCCGCCAGGCAGATTCACAATGAAGCAATTATAGAAGACTGTCGTATTTTCAGACATCGCTTTTCTCAAAACAGTTATAACGGAAAGAAAAATCTGCTCTGGATTTTAGCTATGGATATGTGTTGTTCTCCTGGTTTCGCTGCTGCCCTACTTGCAGAAAACGTTCTTAAAAGTTGGTATCGATGACGTCACGCAGCAACGTCACTGGTTCCTCTGGGAAAAAAGCATGGGGCGCGTTTTTGGTTCGTAGCTTTAAAGTGAAAGGAATAATATGTCGGATTTTGGCCTTGAATGATAGACTCATGACAGAATGATTGAATGATGAGTTGGCACTTCCCAAATTAAACGCGTCCGATATCAAAGTCTTCACTATTTCGCCATGAATGGCCTATTAAGCACAACGCTACACAAATGTGTGAGCAAAACACAACCGTGTTGATGCTGAGATAGCTAGGAGCGAACAGTTATAAAAAGCGCTAGAGAGATGTGTGGAGTACTTACTAGGCTAAGAAGACCGTAATAGCAAGGAGCCTTAATCCGATCAGGTTTCAAACTCGGAATATTAAGTTCCGCCTGAAGTGGGCTTAAAGAAATGTAATTTGGGCATAAAAACTCTAAAAGTATATACAAGTCAAGTTCAGGGGTCTTCTGAGATCATAAAACGCAGCACTGTCTGAAAAGTCAGATTTCCTCAGGTTTCCAAGCTTGGACACGTTGGTGAAACCTGACGCGTCCTTGTCGTGTACTCGAGAAACCAAAGTACCAAACTCAATACCTACTGCAAAATCAAAACACAATTCTGTCCGGAAAACTATCTCTTATCAATCCGAAACAAATCATTGAAAACAGTATACCAAAACTTAGAATCAGTGATCACTCTCTGTAAATTAAAAAAGGTAGCTACAGTAACACACCAGCCAATGAGAGACTGTGTCCCACATGCCATAAAGACGTTGAAAACGAATTCCATTTTAGATTGTCTAACTTATAATGTACACAAACAAAATTATTACAGTATATTGCATGTAAGGCCGATATAACGCTACATCATACAAAGATAGCATGGGACCGCGCCCTTTTGTCCGACGACGTCTCTGCGTACCTCACACGCTCATATGATTTCCAGTAGAGACCGCGGCCTTTGTCAGAAAACTTCACGCTCGTCGGCAATCAACATGAGTTTTCAGTAGAGACCGCGCCATTTGATAGACAACGTACCTGATCGCGAGTACTTCACGCTCGTCGGCAATCATATGATTACCAATAGAGACCGTGCCCTTTGTCAGACAACATACCTTGATACTTCACGCTCGTCGGCAATCATATGATTACCAATAGAGACCGCGCCCTTTGTCAGACAACATACCTTGATACTTCACGCTTGTCGGCAATCAACATGACTTTTCAATAGAGACCGCATCGCTTTGTCAGACAACGTACCTGGCTATAAAACAGGAGAATAAAGTTGTTGAGGTCAGTCGTTACTCCGCCCACACCTGAAAACGACAGCTATGGCTCTGTATCCTCCGTGCATCGTGTGTCGGGAATTAGTTCGACCGAAACAGGAGGCCTTGCATGCACATTAGGCTAGTCTTACGCCAAAATACTCTGAAATGTTGCCATCAACCGTAGAACGTCCTTGCATCAACACATAATGCAGTTTACTTGTGTAATGTTTTCAACTTCGTGTTCTCCAATGTTAAAGAAAATGATATATAACCAAGGAAGTTAAACCTCCCTTATAAAAAAAAACAAGGTATATAAGACTCGTCTCGTCTCTGACCATGACACCACAATACACATTTGACAACAATGCACAGGTAAACCATGCATCTTTTGCCTCTTCTAAAAATTACTTTTACACAACAGTGGGCGGATATTTGAAAAACACTGATCCGGTCCCCCTCACAACCAACGAAAACGACTATGTTTGCAAAGGTGAAATATGTCAAGGTCGAGGTTCCCAATAGTAGTTTGGTAAAACTCTGATCAGTAATTGTGTTGTTTTTTCCTATAATAGTACAAAATAGTACTGTAGATCCAATATGGCACCTGCATTAAGAAATCTGCTCATTGTTTATAGCAAGGGTTATACTTACCAAATAATAGTTTGCTAGACATTCCGTTTACAATAAAAGAAGTTCTCGATGGTTTAAAACAATTAAAATCTGGAAAAGCCTGCGACGTGCTAAAACACGCAACATATCTTAAGACAATTATGTTTATCATTGGTAACTCCTTTTAATACCATTCTCACCGAAGGCACTTTTCCGTCAAATTGGAATACAAGCACCCTAACTCCAATTTTTAAATCAGGTGACAAGTCCAACGTTTATAATTACAGAGGAATCGCTCTATCTAGTTGTCTGTCGACATTTTTCACTCGTCTTTAGAATACCAGACTACAAAACTTTATAGAAAACAATTATCTGTTAGCCGAAACACAGTTTAGTTTTAGAAAGAAGTACCGAAGCGCCGACAATGTCTTTATTCTAAAATCCCTTATTGAAAAATATACACAAAAAAATAAAGGTAAACTGTTTGTTTTGTTGATATGAAAAAGCATTTGACTCCGTGTGCACATGGCGTGATGGATAGTTCTACAAATTGTTAAAATATGGCATCGGTGGAAACCTTTTTTTAATATACTGAAATCTATGTACTACTAGATCGATACAACTTTATATATATATTACTTTTTTTAGCATTGTATACCTTAGAGCTGATGTTAGCCTTTCTTTATTATTGTTGTTGTAATTTCTTTCTAGTACATTGTATTTTGTACATCCGTGCATTTATCCCCCCGGGGAATGAACAAGCAATAAAGTTTTATTATGTTAATTATGCAGTTAGATTAGAGAATGGCTTTATGATCAGATACCTTCGTATCAACTTGTGGTGTAAGACAAGGTTGTAATCTTAGCCCGATGTTATTTAACCTATTCATCAATGACATACCGCAATGCTTTGATCATGACAAGTGTGATGCCGCTACATTAACATCTAAAGCTATCAATTGTTTATCTTGGGCTGACGATTTTGCCTTGATTTCTTTATCAAAACATGGTCTTCAGCAATGCATAAATTCCCTAGAAACATACTGTAGCAATTGGAAATTAACTGTTAACGTCTCCAAAACAAAAGCTATTGTCTTCGCTAAAGGTGTTACAAAGAAAATGTCAAAAGAATTCTTCATCTATAATAGAGAAATAGAAGTTACGGATAGTTATACATACCTTGATATTTCCTTTACGTCCTCAGGTAAATTTAAACACCCAGAAAGTTCTTAAAAACCAAACTTATGAGAGCAATATTCAAATTAAAATCACTTTTATCATCGGAAAACATTTCGATCAAGCTAGGTAAAAATCTTTTTGATAAATATGTAAAAAAATTGTTAAAATATGGCATCGGGGGAAACCTTTTTAATATACTGAAATCTATGTACTACTAGATCGATACCACTTTATATATAGTATCCTTTTGTATGGATGTGAGTTAACATGCTTTGACCAAACGTCAAAATCACTTAAACTTATTGTGTCTAAAAACATTCCTGTGTCTTCCCCTAAAATATTTTCTCTTTTTTTACGAAACTCCAAATTGATGATGGTAACATTCCAGTTTTGATTCGAAAGAGCACTTGCACTGATCTAACTCATACTTATATCATTAACTTTGAAAGAAGAACAGACAAAGACATGGTTCTGAGACAGGCGTCTGGATTTAATCTAGGAAAGGATAATTTTTCAATCAATAACATACGCCTCTCTTTAGCCATACAAGAATTTGATATTATTGACATACGTTTTCAAAAATTTCTTCTTGGAGTCCATTCAAAACCATCCAACGACGCTGTACGAGGAGAATCAGGATCTTTCCCCATTATGATATCTGCTAAAATTCAACTCATTAAATATTGGCACCGTTTGAGAAACTTACCCGAGGACTCTCTGCTTCATGATTTATACAAAACTGTATTTGCTGATGACCACGACTGGATTAATCATGTTAAAGATACTCTCAACTACCACGGCTTTGGACATACAATGTATATGGACGAAACCTGAAGCTTATAAAACAGATTATAATACACACAATCTTCGCCATCGGCTACAAGATACACATCTACAAGAGTGGTTTAGCTGCATTAGAAATAATTCTAAGCTGTCTTTTTTAAGCAAACTAAAAAAAAAACTGTTCGATGTTTAGGTAGATTTCAGGCGGGAAAATTGTTTTCTAACCAGCATTTCCCCCCGCTCTTCTTACACACGGACTTTGCAAACACGTGTGAATCTCTCAAATCGCGCACTTGCGACACAATAAACATGTATGGTGACCTCTCATTGTTTGGCAGTACTTGCGACGAGTGACATGTGCAGATCCGTAAATTCCCGTACACATGGGTAATGGACCTATCATATTATTACTTCACAGTTTGTTTACCGCAATGAATGCCATTCAATCGACGTTTATATTGTACAGGGGTGCGTAGCGCGGCGTGTGTTTGCGTAGCATTAGCCTG